GTAAGTGTCAAGTAAAATCTTTCCCCCCGCATCACTGTTTATACACACTTAGAGACTATATTGAGCATTAAAAAATCTTCATTTTGAAAATGAGAATTAATGACTTAGTTAACAATTGCTCTGTATCATTTTAAAAACACTAAATATGCCTGCAACACATAATGTACTTAATCTTCTGGGTCTATGACCTCCTATCTCGATCATTTTTTTTCGAACAGTTTCTCTGATCTACTAACCAAAAGCCACATGGCCCCTTGGCCGACGTGGCCCTTTGTTTTGCTTCTGGACATAAATATAGCTTCAAGATGCACACGTTTTGTTGAGCTCTCATTTTGCTACTTGCGGTAGGAGTGAAGTCCATTGTATTGGTTGCAATGTTTTTTTTTCTGCAATTGTAAACAATCAAAGCGGAAATTTGTCTACAGAGGTAAAAACATTTTCTATATTCTCTCGAGCGAAAATTTCTAATTTTCAAGTGTTGCTAACCTATTTTATTGGTACTTTCATTCATGGTTCAACTATGTGTAGTAAAATGTGAAAAAAAGGAAAAAAAGAATCTGGAGCTTAAGGTTGTATTGCTATGGCAGTGTTGTATTTTGTGAAGTGTGTCTGTGTATTTTCAATTTTAATCGATGACGTGGGCTCGAAGTGTCCGTGGCGCTCAGGTCTTTGCGGAGGCGACGCATAGTGGATCAAATTTCGAAAAAGCTGGCCAAAATCTCAAAATAAATGTTAATATTTTAAGTTTAGTACAACGCAGTCGTGTCCAGGGAGACCCACTGCATGTCCTAGTAGAAGAAAATGATTGTTTGTACCATATATCGGCTCGTAACTCGCGATCAAACTTGTTGCTTCGTTAGACACGTGCGAGACCTTCGGACGAGATCAGAGATTGACGTCAGTTTACAACGTTTTATAGCAATGTTTCTGTGCTGTACTTTTGTGTGTTATAATGGATCTTCCTGATGGTAAATACATGGTTATTACATTTATTATGCCCAATAATTTTTGTGTAATTTGCTATAAGGAGTTGCGTTAAAAATAGATAGGCACATTTCAAACATTTATGGAAATATTTTTTCGTTTACGTTCGCCTGAGTTCCTATTTCAATGAAAGTATACATTAAAGTATGCTTTATGATAAATAATGATAATGCTGACATGATAAATAAGAATTAGCTATTTTTCGCTTGCATTCCTTAGTGTAGGAACATTTTTATTGGTGATGAGCAATAATCGTTAAAAAATCGACTTTATATTTTCTTGAATATCTTTTATTTATGAAGTATATATATATATACGTGTTTATGTCGTGAACAAAAACAATTCCCCTAGCGTACGGTACCGTATTGTAGAATAGACATGTTGTAAGAAGATGTCCAGGAATCACGCAACAAAGATATTAGACAGTATCGCTAAAATATTTTCCGAAAATGCAGTAGGGAAAAAACGATGGAAGATGTTTTTCATCGACTGCTGATGTCTTCGGATCCCCTGATCACCAGCATGCGAAAGACTCCTCCCAAAGTTAGCATATCACGATGATTCACTTGATTTGGAAGAAGTACTGTAATTTCAGTTAAGATATAATAACATTTATTGATATATCAAGGGATTATTTAATCTATTTACAACCATCCTACCTCACAAGAAAACTTTTTTATAGTTTTTTCTCAAGTTTCGCCATTTTGTTTTTTCATTTTTGTATCAAAGTCTGAATTTGTGTCTTGAAAGAACTCTAAATTCCCATTTTTGTACGATCGAAACAATTTTTAGCATTTTTTTCCGCCATAATGGATACACCATTTTCGTTTTTTGACTTTTGAAACTTTTTTTATCAAATTCTTAATATGTGACCTGAAGGAACCCTAAAAACCAATTTTTGTACGATTAGAACCTTTTTTGAGAATTTTTGTCCACCATACTGGATCCGCCATTTTGTTTTTTCAATTTTTTTTCATGAAATTCTTATCCAGTGGCGTCAAAACGCATTTGTTACATAATGTCAGACAAATCCAACTACGCTTTCTTATATTGGCCAGCTTTTTCGAGATCTAATCCACTGTGTGACGGGGCGTTTCCCGCGCGTGCCTCAGCCACCGGTCTCCCTCCCGCGCTCGCCGACCTCCGCTTGCTCCCACAGAGCAGCAAGCCTGTCGCTGGGCAGCGCACGCGAGGCGAAGGCGATGTGCGTTTCTTCATTTTTATCTGATTGATTTGCGTCAAAAGCAGGAGAAGTATTATCTGAGCGGGTTTTCTTAACAAGATCCAAAATAACTTACAGATTAATACCGTCAGTAAAAATACCGTGAATTCTCTTTAAGCCGACCACGTGATTAATATTTTAAAATTGGTCTTTAGAAGGGTGGTCTTCTTAAAGGGAATATCGCGCTATTAAACTGTACTGACCGCTGCTGTAATTTTAAAATAAAAAAAAATAAATGTCGGAAAAAGCTGTTTGCAACACCAATTTAAGTAAAGTACTGCGATAATAAGAATAATTAACTCAAATTAATGACATGGAATACTTTGGGTTTGATTTGTGTCAATTACTTCAACTGTCGCATTCGTACTATTTTTATTATCATTATTTTAATAAGTCAACTTTATTAAGACATTCATGTGAATTATGCACTTTGAAATTATAGAAACGTTTATAATAAAATAGTATTAATGTTAAAAGAAATGCATGGCATCATTTTAACTTTTAGAAATTGACTTTCTTATTAATTCTTTTCGATTTTAATTCGTTTTAATTCAAAATTAATATGACACTTATAATAAAATCAAATAAAATGTTTCAACATTACAATTTCTATTAGATATGTCAAATAATTTATAACGGAAAATTTTTAACGAAAACTGTTTGAAATTTTAAATAATCGTAATGTTGGATGAAATTTTATTAATTAAGGCTGTTTATTAATTTGTTTTGCAAAATCGATGCTAGAAATATGAAGAAAATACAATCGTATGTATTCTGAACGTACAGATTATCCACCAACTTTAGGATCAGTACTGGAGATGTTTGTGGTTTCCTATTTCCTGGGCTCTCGATGCCCACTCCAGTGAACCTGTATAACCCCTTCAAGAGCCGTAGTCGTGCTTTCTAAATGTCAATATTATTTGTGCCTAAATGGACAGGGGTTTTAAACACAAACAAGGCGAAGAATCTGAGAACTTAAAAGAGACGCAAGAGAGCGATAATGGGCCGGAGAAATATTGATGAGGGGAAGGCAGATGTGTTCTGTGAGAAGGGCTTGGGGCGACCAGGGGTTTCCTTAATTTAATAAACAGAGGTTGACAGATGAAGAGCAGACGGCAGTGCTGGTTTTAAACATTTTCTACCACTGAAACTGATGGAAACATTGAATACACACTTAAAATAAAATAAGCATTTGCAAAGGTCGGGGTTGTGCATTTTTTGTAAGATTGGGCATGAAGATTCCTAGATGGATTTGACAGAAATTTTTAGAAATGCCAATGATCGAATTCGTCCTTAAAGAAGTATAAACTAGATGTTGTCCAACTTTATAAAGACAGTACCCCTTACACATGACATGAATCGAAATATTCACATGAGATTTCCCTAAATTGAGGATTTTAAATTGTTCTTTAAAGTGTTGTTTTTTTTCGGGTTAATGTGAAGGCGCGAGTTACATAATAATAAAAATATGACACTTTAATTGAATTTGGAAATTCTTTTAAACTTCCTAGTTGGTTTATTAAGGTTTGTACATTTCTAGAGCAGCACGTTATTCTAATTCATTCGGCCATTAACACATTTTCGTTGTGCGTCAAAAGAAGAATTTTATTACTTCTTATCATTCCTAAAAAGTCAAATACGTCTACTCTCTGACTGATAGTTTTGCATTTAAAGTTTTATTGCAGAATTTTGCTAACTTTGACCATTGTGAGGACCGTTAGATTGCTATTATCGCTTGTCGCAGCGTTTATGGACACTGAAAAATATTTGAATTGTTCTTTACCAGGTTTTGACGTCCTGTTGCAAGGAGCCAAGCGAAGCTTCTCAGAAGCAATAGCATTTTATCGCTAAGAAACTATCATCATTCTTTTTTCTTAATCTTTGGCTTTGGATTTCCTTATCGGCTTCTTCCCTTCCATTTTACTCTGTTTCTTCTTCTCCTCTTTAAATTTAGATTTATTTAGTCAAAAAAACAGTAAAAACTGTGAGATATGGGGGAGATCATCTTTCATGTGTACTTGGTTTCTCCTCGTCTTTTTCCCTCCTGCTTCTTATCCTCCTCCTTTTTCTTATTCTACTTCTTCGCCATATCGCTTCAATTACTTTTTCATTTCATTATTTCTCGAAATCCATATGAATAGTTTTCTTTCAATTGAAATGTTATTTATCTGGTCCATACTCAAATACTGTATTCAGATTTCCCGCACCCTTTGAGCACTGCCTCAAGCATTGTGGACATTTTTATGCGCGACTTACGAATATGTGTTCAATTAACGGTCTCTTTAAAGACGTTCAATGAGAGTTTATGTACATATACGGAAATCTTAGGGAAAGAAGTGCATTCAAATTTATTAGTATCCAACGCAAATTTTAGGAACATAATTGAAAGTGTTATAACATTTTATTCTGTTACAGAAAATACAATACCAACGTAGGTTTTAGAAAACGAAAAAAAATATTGTAGTATTATCTTTTTTAAATAACGAAAATATCACTGATACTAAAAACACTAATATAACTGAAATAGAATTGTGTTATTTTTCTTTGGCAGTACGTCAACTGCGACAAATCTTTCACTGAGCGCGGTCACAGTTTTCTTGTGCATTGGCAAGCCTGGGCCTTGACACCACTAAGGCGAGGTATGAAGATGGAATGACCGGGGCTCATGCCGCAGTCGAACGTCAGCGACTAGAAAATCTCGGTCATTCGCTTGAAGGGAACTGGCCTCGCTCCCCTGCCCGCATCCACCGCTTGTCAGTCGGCACGGCAGCTCCGGAGCCTGAACCAAAACGCCATGGGCATCGTAGGCGTGGAGAAATACTTAGAGAATTATCCCGACACCTGCTGCTTCGTTGACATCCGCCAGGCAGTGAAGGATGACGACCGCAAGGTGGTGGTGGTAGACGGCAACGTCTTTCATCACATGTACATCTTCAGAAAATTTCAATGGATTTGCGGCAACACTCACGGACTCGTCGCAGAAGTGAGAAATTTCGTGGGAGCTTTTAATCGTCTAGGGGTGAAACTCGTGTTCTTCTTCTGCGATCACCAGTCGAAGGAGGTCAGGCGTAAGAAGTGGATACGCGACCGCCATGCTAACATGCGATACGTTAAGAAGGTCCTGAGGAGAATTGAACAAATGGACATGTCCGTTGCGCTCATCGGCAGTCTTCCCGAAGGTGAGTCGCATACCCCTCTCGATATAAAATGTTGGTTGAGAGCAGCGTTGCAGGAAATCCAGTGCGAGGTGATCTGTCCGGTCTCCGACCGTGTTTACCACATAGCGTCTTATGCGCGGGAAAACAACTGTCTCGCAATTATTTCACAAACGTCCTATTTCGTCTTCTACGAAGATCTAACCGCTGCTATATGGTCTATGAAGCACTTGGACATGAGAACTATGAAAACGAAGGCATATAATTGCAAATCGCTCGCGCGGAGACTTCATTTCGAAAATAATTTCTTTCCTTTGCTTGCCACCTTACTTGGCACGACATCAATGGTCAAAGACAGGAACAGGACAAAAGTGAGGAACTGCATTCGCAAACGAGTCAGTTATGCTCTAGCCAGTGATAATATGTGCGATGTTACAGCTCAGTACATTAGGGAAAATTTCGATTACGATCACTTAGAAAATGTGCCTGTTGTATTGACCAAACATTTTTCTTCACAATCAGAAATGCTGGTTTCAGATTACTTAATGTATGAAAGAATGTTTAAATTTAAATATATTACAGAAGATGGTGTGCCAAATGTGTCAGAAATGAACTTGTGGGAGAAAATAAAAAAGGTGTGCTATGATCTACAAAAACGTGGTAGAATGTGTAGTAAAGTGCGTGTTATCTTAGATGAACAATTTTATGAGCAACATACTATGCTTGAAGATTTTGATGACCTGCCGTCAATAAGTCTGCTCTTCAGACCTCTCCGGCAGAAAATATATGCAATTTTGCTGCATGAAGCGGAGGGCTTCTTGAAAAATCGCGAAGTAAAAGAGTGGTGCTTTGACAACAGTGGTATTTTATGCTCTACCATTGTGTCACCCGCCAACGTCGATAAATCCATACACCCTGGTCTTCTCAACCTGTGGGATTTAAGCAATACAAGTGATGGAATCTTAGAAAATAAATGGCAACTCTTTGCAAACGCTGTTTCGTCTAATCTAGAATATAATTTGCTCCGTGACTTACCTGCTCCTTTGGCGATTCCTACAGCTGTTCTTTTCTACTTGTATCGTGAAGCACCTCTGATTTTCCCCGAGTATTCTTGTAACTTGCTGAGCCCATGGGAAATAGATGTATTTATTTCTGTAATTGTAACATTGCCTTATAGAGATGGAAATTTTTTCAGAGTTATTCATAGAGGAAATATACGAGCAATAAAATTGTCAGCACTCTTCATGCATGGATGTCAGACCATGGAAATGTTGCACCAAGCATGTGGTTATGTGGTAAAAGAGCCAAATTCAATTTGGTACTATTTTGATGGTATATTATTTCATGACCTCTATGAAAACGCCAAAGTGGGATACAAGATCATAAATAGCTGTTGTAATCCTGAAATATTGGCACAGTTTGAGCTTATTAGGAAAATTGTTTTTCTCAATTGCTGATCATGTTTTGGATTTTCTGTTTTAATATATTAAATGAACTTGTTTATATATAATGAATCTATTTTAAGTCTTCTATTAGATTTGTAATGTATTTAAATTGATTAGAGGAATATGTCCGTGAACTATTTTAAATCAATCTCGTAAAACGAAACGTCTTTCTAATTAGTTCCATTAATAGAATTAAAAGGAACAAAATAATCTTCTGTATCTGATTTTAGTGAAGTTTTGAAAGGAAATTCACATGTTCTTTTTAATTTGGTTTCAACACGAATTTTTTTAAAATTTCGTTTCCTTTTGAAACTTGGATCAAGTGCTCTTACCTATTTCGTTACGTTCACGTAACTGAGCAAAACAGAACCAACAAGAAGTTTCAAAACTAAACGAACTATTAAAGATTGATTGGTTTCGAAACTTAAAATAAAAATGGAATAAAAATGCATTATCTTTGCATTTTAAAATTCAACAAAATTGTTATTAAAGGTAATTGGGTTTTGAAATGAATATAATTGAGTTTTGAAAATTCGTTTCGAAATAAAATTAAATGAAATTATGAAAGTTTTCGCGGTCAGACTCGTGCGAATGATTTTGCCTGTGCAGGTGACGTTGCGATGAATGCTGTGATGTTTCGACCATCTTGTCGAGGTCTTCCTCACGGTCGAACTGCGCTGTTGGTACTTCAACTATGACGAAGATCGTGGCATGATGATTGGCCCATAGAAATCATAGCCCTCGACGCGGTGTTACCTGAACAGGCAAAATCATTAAACGAAATGAAAATGTTTGAGTTAAGTTAACTTTTACATTCTTGTTTTCACTCGTGCACCGTTATGATTTGGTGAGTCAGTCTAGTCGTGGTTCGACGTGGTGTTAGATATTTGTTGATATAAGGAGAGGTTACTTACGTCACGGTCGCATGTCTACAAGTTACCCTTCGTCTAAATCCCATTTCCGTGTAGATTTTGCCTTTCTCTTTAGAAAATCTAGATTTATTCCTACGAGGTTTGTGGAAGAGATAATACATATCTTGTACTCCTCCTACATTCGCCACTAGTTTTAGATTGAAGGAGTTGTCTTTTATTGTAGCCGAAAACTAAAACTAGATTTTAATGTAAAAAATTTAAATTATATTTTAATAATAGCATGGGCTATGTATTTTTATATTTAATTAATACTAGGTAACTTTTCATGAAAATGAATAAAAGTGGTTATGAAAATCATCTTTTAATTGACACCCTATTCCCAAATTGATATCCTATATTTACTTAAATGATAACTTTTGGCTCCTAATAGTAAATGAGATCAACTGTCAGAACATGTCTGCGGATGTCAGGCCAATAGAGAATTTCTTTTTATTATAGGAATTATTTCGGAAAAGTCATTTTGCAACTGCTAAAGTCAATTACAATAATAAAGACTTATGCTATCTGGAATATATCCTAGGCAATGTAGACTACTTTCGATGAACATGTAGATTTTATCATAGTCCAAGATTATTAACGAAAAACCTATTTGTTCACAAATAACATGTAGGCAACAGATGCTGAAAAGATAAAATACCTGCGTACTATTGAGTATTAATCCCTTTTTAAAGTATAAAAATAAAGCTTTTTGAAGCTGGGCTCATTTAGGCCCCTGCACGCGAGCATTGCGTTGACGCGCGTTAAGTAACGCGAGTCCTAGAATATTGTATATTATGCGGAACGGCACACGAGCGCTCTGGCCGTTCCGCATAAGATAGTGATAATCTACGACACGCAATTCTCGTAAGTCGAAGGCCTTATACTTAATGCATTCAGCACAAAAGTGGACTAAATAAAAGTGGACTTTTTTTTGTGAAAATGTGGTACCATAAAACGATAATACGTGGTGTCTGTCAAACACGAGATGATTTTTCCCAGAAGTTTAAAGCTCTTATTCTGTTCCTGCGCTGAGCGAAATGAAGGACAGAGCACGTTAGCCTCCCTTTTGCTCTCCGAATGGGGTTGCTGCAGTGTAAGGGGAGTCCCTTCCGGACAGAAGTATTATTGGAATATTAGCTCCCTTTCGTAACACTTCTAGAACGTGATTTGTGTGTAGGTAATGCTTATAAGTTCGTAATTTTTTCTACCAAAATAAATATTCTTTTGAGTATGGAGAAAAAACGAAGTAAAGGAGTTTTTGTTCGTTTCACAAATATTTTATATGCAATGTACATGCGTTTCTATGCACTAGCGAGTACCTTTCTATCAATGATAGTCGTTTTTAACATGTGCATGAAGCTATTAGATTTGTAATGCTATCCTTCGACCTACGTGTATCGCTTCAATTCATCCGCACAATTATGGGGCATGCTTCTTGTTATTAATATTTGTGTGGCACTGGAAATGTTAACCAAAAGGGAAAAATATTTGTCTCTAGTAAAGTTGCTAATTTGCGGTTTAATAATATTTAAGTTTTATTACAGTTAATTTCGGAAATGTGAGAGTCCGACAATGAAGTTGATCAGTGACGAATAAGCCATCAAGAGAAGGTAGCCAACACTTGGAATTTAATAGCACAAAGGTCATAATAGAGATGTATGGAAAAAATTAAAAGGACAACAGGGCGAGAAAACATATTGGAAGTAGGTAAGTGACTGTGCAATGTAAGGAAACAGAAACGAGCTGTGCTAAAACAGCACGTACTTTCTCGCCCGTATTTTCTCAAAAAGTACAAAAAAGTAATCAAATTTTCGAAAAAATTGTACACATTATTTTAAAATCTATCTTTAAGAAACAAAATATTTATCTTCATAATTGTAGTTGTAGGAAGACGCCGAAAAAAATTATGAATTTTTGTAGTTTTCGAAAAATCAGTGTTCAACAATGAGACGTGCACTATTATCTTAATGATACCTGCATTAGTCCTTCACATTATCTAACAATAATATTTAATCAAAAACAATGAAGCTATTTTTTGAAAATATTGAAGTCTCAGAGTCTTTATGGAAAATAACCCACCATCTCACGTTGTACTTCTGTCGATAACGGATAATGTTTAATACGCGAGTGTATATTGATTTCCCATTGGTCATTGTTATGAGTATATTATAATAGATGGGCTGACACAACCTACCGTTACGAATTAAAATCAATAAAATGTCTAATAACCAATAAAACTGTATAATAGCCGACTAAATTATGTTTTCATAACTGATTTTGCAAATACAATCTTTCATTTCCTCGTAAGAAGTGACGCCTTTGAGGTGCCGGAAAAGTCAGATTAATGCTCGTAAATACGATTGCTTTACGGAAGAGGACTTTTCCTTGCAGGAGAGAAGGCAAATTCAATAAAATTATAATATTTATATTTCTGTGAATGTGTTAAAAGGAAATTAACCCTTACCTGCTTTATAATATAATTCACATTTTCATAAACTCATAATTGCCTTGGAAAGCCAAGAAGCTAGAGTTTTCCGCTATTTGATCTCACACATCCTGCCAGAGGGTGCCTAGGTGATTGACTGATATTTCTTTTAATAACTATAACAAAAACATATATACATATATACGAATATTACAACCACTACCTCAGGGTGTATTACTGCGGCCAGGTGCGCGCTGGCCTCCTCGCAAGTGCCACCTGCGAGTGGCGCGTCTCGGGTTAGAACCCACGGCCAGGCGACGTACGTCCGGGCGAGTGACCAACGGCGGACAAAGCGCCTCGGGGGACGGTGCTGACTGGCAAAGGCCGCTGCCGGCCGTGCCACCCCCGCAGCCTGCCACCCCTTTCACCGCCACCGCCTCCACAGCCCTCACCCCCGCCGCCCTCACACACGAAAAGGTGGCTCAGGGCATCAGTGGATGTCACTGCAGTGCCCCTGAACCTCAGGTCCTGCGGATCGAGTCCCGATGGGGGAAGATTTTCGACATTAGCTTGTAAGCTAGGTCGAATTCAGTCGCCTTGAGGAGAATTCGGCCGGCTGCTCTGATCGTTAGTATTTTTGGAAGGTTTCTGCGATCAACACCAGGCAAATGCCAGAGTGGGACCTCGGGCCACGGACCGCACGTCATCTTTCCTTCCTTTTCTTTGTCCTTTTCTCACCCCGCCAGCGGAGGAAGATCACCGCCACCTCCCGCAATAAAAACATATACTACACTTATGGAACTAATAAACGTATTGCATTTAACACGCCCGGGATCACCGATCAATCAATCCACCGCCCTCACCTCCGCCGCCCTCCCTTTCGTCGCCCTCTCCTCCACCGCCCTTACTTTTGCCTACCTCGCCCCCACAGCCACTGCCTCCAACGCCGCCGCCGCGCCGCCGCCGCGCCGCCGGAACAAACGCGCGTGGCGCAGCGCGAGCGCTACCGAAGCAAGTACGCGTCACGTAAATCACATCATGAAGGGCATCGGAGGGCCCGGGAGAAAAAGACTACGCAATTGTGTTATTTGGCCGTGCTGCACCTGGCACCACGCATGCCACGGCCACACAGGCCACAGAGGCTGGCACCTGCCAGAGTCTGATTCAGCGACAGGGAAGAATTGAAGATTGCTCACAGAAAGAGGCGGTTTAGCGGGGGCGTATTTAGAGAAGTCACTAAAACAGTAATGTTTCTAAAGTTTTCTTTCCTAACGTGAGTAGGAGTATCTCAAGCATATTCTCACTTGAAACTTGTACGAATATATTAAAGAATCGTCAATATCTTATTACAGATTGTGATGAATAGTAAATGATTTTATTAGGTTCGTGGTAGAGCAGCTTTGATTCGTATATGACTACCAGAAGGTGTAAACGATGTCAATGACATTCTGGAGATACTAACTTGGGACAATCGGGTTCGCATAGTGATCCGTTACTTATTTTTACTTTCTCGCCTTACTTTGATGGAAGAGAAAGTATTGTAATCGTGCGCCGGGATACGGCAATTTTTCGAAAGAAAACTAACTAATTGCAGGGCCATGGTGACGAAAACTAGTGGTGCTACAGCAGCACGTACTTTATTGCGTCAGTACCGGTTATGTAAAATGATAATACCT